ACTCCTCCATGGAGTTAGAGGCAGAGCCTCCCTCGTGGGAATGAGTGACAGAGAGAGCGATGTGCACACTCCTATCGCATCCGTTCAAAACAGTTTCTGCTCCCGTACACAGAGATGCACAGGCGATCTTTTTGATTGGTGTGGTGCAAATGACATTTCATAAATGCAGACAGCACGTCAACTACCAAGAAGTGGCCTGCTTATGGATCCCAGCTGGTGGGGTAAACACAGAAGCCAGTGAGAACTGAACAGACTTGGGGTGTTCATTCTGGTCTTTGTACCCAATTTAGATGGTGACTGGAAAGGAGGAGAGACAGGATGCTTTCTGACTTGAATACTGTGGTGAAGATCAAGTACCTTGGCTGGCCTGTTGTTTTCCTGCCCCAAACCTCTCCTTACAGACTCACCCTGAATTTCCATGCTAATTAAAACTGTGAATTCTACCCTGTGAGGAAGTGAAAGATAAATGCTTTTACTTTAAATATGAAGGCTGGGTCCTTGGGAATATCATATATAAACAGATATAGCTTGTGACAAGAGGATATTGAAATTAGTTTAAAAACACAAATGGCACACTCCTCCTTGACAAGGCTGTAGACAAACAAGATATACATGGGCCTGGCAGGTATAATGCTCCCGGTCAGCATCCCATCACTGAAGCTCACCAGCCTTGAAAGAGTTCCTGGACCCCCTGCAAACATATGCTAGGGATGTGAATTCTTAAAAGGGAAAGTCTATAAGCAGAGAGATACTAACTGAACCATTGGGCTAACAGCACCAATTAGAAACAACCTAAATGTTGCATAGTAGGAGAATGAGTCGATCATGGTTGCTTCCTACTAAGATGATACATTAGACATCTATGAAGGTGATGGAAAGTTTTGAAAGTAAGATGATTTTGTGGGGGAAAGAAAAAAATGCAAGAAGGGATGTAAAACCAAATGCTCGAATTAAAAGTAAAGGCTTGAAGGCAATATGGGAAGTTGTAATAATCTGTGTTTAAATATAGTGACATTATGAATCTTCCTTTTTCTTTCTAAGAATAATTTTTGTATTTGCTACCTTATTTCACTAATAGAGGCAACAATCGTACCAGCATCTGCAATGGTTATGTGGATCATATCTCATGACATTACTTAGTATTCTAAAGGGATTTCAACAACTAATTGGGATGTGTTAGAGGCACAGAGTTAACGCACAGGGTTGGGATTGCTATTTTACAATGTTTCTTCAACATGAACTTCTGAAAACCGTACCTGCTGGTGGTGAAAAGAGGCAGCGACTTTGCAATTGGAGACTTTCTGGCCCAGCATTGACCTTGAGGAAAGCCACCAAGGCCTTCTCCTCCACTGAGTTCGAAGCAAAACTGCCCATCACCCCATTCTAAAAGGGCAAAAACCACAAGCCACAGACTTCAGCCACTCCTTCAGTGCCTTCTTTCCTATTGATAAGTGGCATCAAGGTCTTCTTATTCAGGCATGAAAGAGGAAACTGGACACCTTTTGGGTTTAAAAAAACAGGAACAGAGAGGGACTCGGAAGGAAGTGACCATTGAGGAGCTGAGCACTGAGGACCTGGCTCACTCTTCCATTATTGAGTGGATTTTGTGGGATCAGGAGAACTCTAGACATTGGGTTCACCCACAGCTAAGCCCAGGCCAGGTACAGTCCTATTTATAATCAGACAGGAGGGTCTATGGGAGATACAGGCAGAGCAGAAGCATGGCTGGGTCAGTGGCATATAGGAAAGCCATTTGTAAAGCTTATACCATCAGGAGGAGAGACACATCCCAGCCTTGAGTGGGAAGTCATCTGAGTAATTCATCCCTTGTGTAAATTCAGTGTGCACACACTGCTGGCCTCTACTCTGCTCATAAAGAGGGCTGTGTAGTGAAAGGCGCATAGGCTTGAAGGCAGACAGAGCTGCCTTCTGGTCCTGAATCTGCCAGTCACTAGCCATGGGCTGTGGAGAGGTTACTCTCTGGAACTCAGTTGTATCCTCTGAGAAGACAATGGAAGGTGGATGTGGTTCACTAGACCCTCAACCAACTCAAAAGATATCACCTGCAATAAATCCTAGGGTGATGATGGGAAAAGTCCCTTATCATACAAACCATATACTTTCTACAAAGGCATTCATATGCATGTGTAAGTAATTACATATACTTACCTGTCCATGCCATTACAAATGGTGAGAAACCTCTTTGGCCTTAAGCTAACATAGAGATAGCTCAGCGGTTAAGAGCACTGGCTGCTATTGTAGAGGACTTTTGATTTGGTTCTCAGCACCCCCACAGTGCTAACAATGGTCTGTTAACTCCAGCTCTAGGGGATCTTCTGCCCTATTCTGGCCTCTGTGGGTACTGCACGTAGGGTGCACTTACATACATGCAGGCAAGACATTCATATACATAAATAAAAAATTGTTAAAAGCTAATGTAGGAATCATGCTGCTCTCTTCCCACTGATTTGGCCAATAAAATAACAGCTATGTGGCTGGCAGTGGGATGACCACACTGGTTGTCGGACTGATGGAGTCCATGAAGAAATGGGCGAGGGGAGCCCAGCTGTTGTTCTGTGGCCGCAGTTCTTTAGGTGTCCACAGAATCTTAATGAAGTTGATTGGGAGTGTGTGCATCTCTAACCACCAATTTCTTCACCTATAAACCCAAGATTTAAATTCCTTCATAGTGGAGATGGGGATAACCCTAAACTAAACTTCCAGAATGCGGGCCACGTTGGGTTAATAAACGAACAAATGCATAGAGACCTGGTTTGGAAGTAAAATATTCCCCCAGAGACTCTTGGCTTTGAACCTTGGGTCCTCAGCTGCTAGAGCCCCTTTGGGAAGTTGTGGGACTTTTAGGAGGTGGGGCTGAGCTGGAGTAAGTGGGTTCACTGGGAGACAGGCCTTGAGGTTTATGGCCCAGCCATGAGTCTGGTTCTGGGTGCTCTGCCTCCCGATTAGGCGGCATGTAATCAAGCAGCTTCCTGCTTCCACTACCATAGCCATGAGCTGCCATGAACTCTACCATGGCTTCCCCACCACGGCACACTGTACTTTTAAACCATCAACCAAAATAAATCCATAGCTTCTTGTATGTACTTGATCTTATGGATAAGAACAGTGGCTGCTACACTTGGCTCATGTGACATGTGATATAAGAATTCTTGAATTCAGAGGGATCCTTCCTTCAAGGCCTCATCTTATCAGCCTGAGGCAGAGTGCACATAAGAGTCAGTGCAAGGAGGTAGGAGGCCAGCAGAGGGTCCATTGGCCCCTTGATGGTTGAGGAATGGTCTGCTGCTGCCCCAAACATCATCTTTGCCCTGGCTGAACTTTCTTCCACCTTCATCCCTAAGCTATAGTCAGACACAAAGACGCCTCTACGAGCCACATGAGGATAGGTATATCCTGTCACCATGGACAATTTCCACTTAAGGAAATGGCTTTGGGGCAGATACCGGGAGATCTTGACATCAAACAGACCTAGGTGGGAATCATAGATTTGCCACTTTAGCTGGGGGTGATGGCAAGCCCTGAAAATCCTTGGCCTTTTTGACTAGAAAATGGGAAGAGGAGGGTGCCTAGCAGAACGGCCATCACACGAGCAGCTAGGAGTGGCACCATAGCCTGTTCAGCCTGGCATGTGGCTTGCCATCATTTTCACTGTGATGGGCGCTACATTCACGGGCACAGTGTCTAGTCACCAAGCACTGTACTGTCCTCAATGATTATTTATTAAGGTTACTATGTGACAGGAGCTGTTCAAGGAACATGGCCACCATCATGAAGACAACAGCAAGCTTCGTGGACTTTATATTATAGGGAAAAAGAAAAGTTGACTTATAAGGTGTTCAATATTATTGTTTGAAAGGATAAAAATGAGGGGTAGGGGGGAGGTCAGTGGGGTGACACCATGAACGATGTGGGCAGACAAGGTGCCTCACCTGAAGCAGGTGACTCTGGATCAGAGACCAGAAGAAAATGAGAGAGAAAGTCATGCAGGTTTCTTGGAGAAAAACATTTCCACATAGGTAGTAGCACATGTTCTGGAGTTGAGAGTGTGCTTGGCTTGTCTGAGGGACACTAGAAGCTTCTGCAGGAAAAGAAGAAAGTGCTAGAATGTGGGATGTGCAAGGCAGCTGGGGATCAACTTATGAGAGAAAACACAGGCTAAGGAAAAAAAAAAAACCATTATTCAATGAAATGAGAGCTGTGTCAATTAGCTCTGGCTGTGTAACAAAGAACCCCAAAACTTACTGACTTAAAACAACAGAACTTTATTAATTTTTGTAGTTCTGTGAGTTGAGTGGAAAGTTTCTTTTCCTCTTGGTTGGGTCAGCTCAGTTGGGAGGGAGGCTGCAGCCAGGCTGTGAGACTCGAAGGGAAATGCTGTCTGACTTGGAGGAGGAAGGCCAGAGGTATGGTACTAGCTGGCCTAAAGCTGCTACCCCAGGAGAAGGCACTATGAGATGCATCCCACCTTCGCCTTACTGGTATTTGAGCAAAAGATCCCATGTTTTTTCGTGTCTTTACTTGCTTCCCTTAAACTTTGGGTTTCCAGAATGTACCATTCAGAATGTTTCCTGTATGGGTCACTGCATGCATGAAAGGCTTGGTTCCTGGGAGCTTTGTAGCTAACTTAAAGCAATCCTTACCACCACCACCCCTTTGCCTGGGGACCGTCATACAAATGGAAACAGTGAGTAACAGTCTCCACCTGCTCTCAGTCCAGAACCTGGAGAGCCTCTGTAATCACTGCGTGATTGATAATCCGAGAGGAACCAACTGTTGAGGACTGAAATAACTCTCTGTAAGTAATAACAAAATATCCTAAGGTAAAATTATTCAAGAGTCACTTTTCTTTCTCTTTCTTTCTCTCACAGAAAATACGATGCTGGCATGCTAACCGTGTGAGACAACTTGGCCCACAGACAGCCACAAAGCACAAAAAAACAACACGAACTCAGAGAAGAAACAATCGTGTTTTCCTGGCGTCTACGAGAAGCGCTTTATTTTTCCTCTAGATTTCTTTTCTAAAAAAACAAAAACAAAAACAAAAACGTAACTGAAATGAACATTGAAACCGAACAATACGAACTTCGGATGAGCACTGTAGAGCATGTTCTTTTATTAAGCATAGGATGGGAGGAGCAGGAAGAAGGTGAAGCCAACTACTGGGAGGGCAGGGAGGCTGGGACACTCAGCCTGAATGAAGAATGGAGGGAACTACTTTCTATTTCCCACCTCAAGAGTGTCTCACGCCTCTGAAGGACACCTCATCTAGTTTCTTACCCATCTAGTTCTCTAAGGAATGATTCGCAAAATTTTATTTGTTATGCTTTCTAAAGAATTGCTTGCATAGCTTTGGCAAGGGAATCAGCAACTGGTGCTCTTTGGACCCACCAGCTCTGCCCACTGGCTCTGCTGCATCTCTGATGGCATCTTGACTCTGTTTGGACAGGGTTCTGAGTTTCTCTCCCAGAACTTGCCAAACCTGTTCAGACTTGAAACGATGTCCTCCAGGATTGATTCAGCACAGAAAGCCAACATTTGGTTTCTTCCCTAGCTTGGAGAAAGCCAGCCTGTGGTGGCAACGGTGGCCGTGGTGGGGCCTGGGTCATTAGAGGACATTAGGCTAGTCTAAGATCACTTGTGTTTCTACAGTGAGAGGAGGAACTTACATGCCAACCATGCTTTCCACTTTCAAACAGGCCACCCCCATAAAAATAAAGGGACCCATGACTGAACCAACCCCAGAAAGGGACACCCTTGACCTCTGCCATCCCCTGCTTACTGTTGGTACCCAGCACACTCAACTGATTGCAACTGCTTTCGATTCCTTTAATGTCGTGGAGGGACAGGGACACCCCAGGATGATGGGGCTGGCAGTGGTGAAGGTCAAAGCATGGGTTGGGGTGTGCCCATCTTTGTGGGGCTTGGACTAGCTGGTTGGGCTGCCCAGGCGCTCCTGAATGAGCCTCTCACTGAGCACCCACAGGGCCTGGGCTGTCTCTTCACGCTGAGCTTCGTGAGACGGCAGACAACGGCAGCAGTTGTTGAAATACATCCCTCCGAGACCCTCCAGCTCTGGGGCAACAGCACAGTAGACAGTGGTGGCAGCTCCTTGTTGCTGGAAATGAAAGAAGAAAGAAAGAAAGAAAGAAAGAACTTTAAGAAAATGCATATAAGACAATGCCATCCTGGCCATCTGGGAATTAGAGGGCCTCTCCCCACCTGGCACTACCATGGTAAAGGGCTCTGAACTTCAAGCACATGAACTGCAAAAGGTACGATACGTCTTAGAAACTCTGCTTGTAAAGCTGGTGTGACTTTTTACACCTCATAGAGGAAAAGACTTGGGAAATAAAGACACATTTCAATATATCCTGCCAGGCGCCTTTACAGCAAAAAAAGAAAGAGATGCTGTTGTTCCCAGCATCCATCTGACCCCTTGACTTCTCAGTGTGGGATGAAATTTGACACCAAGAAGTTTCTAGAACCTTTTGTCTGAATGAAATCAACCACCCTTAATAATGGCCCATCTAGTGGACAACGGAACTGGGGCTGGTTTCAGATCTTTCCTTTCTTCTCTGTCCTCGATGCTGCTAAGAGGATATGATGGGTTTGCAGTGCTGTTGAGATGTTTAAAACATGCGCATGTTCAGGCACATAGCTTCATACATCCTAAATTGATGCATTTATTAATTCATCCCAAAAACCTTCCTTCTAAATGTCTTATTTGTTCTGATTTACACAGGGGTAGGAGAGGGGTGTCTGTCTTTCCAGCCCACTTCAAAACCCAAGTTGCTATGAACAGTACATATCATTTCTGGTCTCCTCTGGAGTAACAGTTGGGGCTGTGGCTAGGGGTGTGCACTGATGGGGTACCATGTCATCCTGACTGACAGGATATTGCCAGGAATGCTATAAAGAGGGCAAGAAATCACTTTGCTTTGCAAGCCATAATTAAAAATAATAGGCTGCTGTTCATAGGGAGGCACGGTGCGCATGGCTCTAATTTAAAAGCAGTACAGTTTATCTGGCATCTTATGATTATTTATGTGTATCACAGCCCTTGATGCATCAACTAATTATCAGCTGGCGGGGGTGGGGTTGCAAACAGTGACCAAAAGGGAACCATAGCTGTCGCCTTCAGGTAAATATTAGGGATATTCGCTTGTAGGGGAGATGGGTTTCTGTCCCCTCCCAAGTTACCATTTTTTTTTGTCCTTACAGGGTTTAAATTGTGTCATATGAGAGTGTCCCTGGAATAGCATCCGTCTAAATGGCTAGACTCATTGGAGCCATGGTCACTCTGAGAACCAGGACCCCAAGGTGTTATAATTTTAGGAAAGTGCTATAAAGCCAACTTGGGCTTTTGCTTCATGTTGGCTTTAATATCAGAGTCTGTGGTCATGTTTACATTGGTCAAATGTGGCCAAGTAGCCTGATTGTGGGAGGGGTAGCGAGGGATGTGCGGCAGAGACTCCACATTTGATAACACCTGCCTGCTTGAGACCTATGGACAAGCGCTACTGGTTCAGTACTTGAACATCAGACGTGATTTGAGCTTAATTAAATAGCAAGTGGTTTGCTGCTTCCCCAAATCCCTCAGCATGCCCATTCCCTAAATTAGTTAATACCTTGGATCCTGCTACGTTTTTCTCAGTTGACTGGCATGGCTCAATTCTAATGGAAAAAAGGTTGTCAGATTCCCTTTCACTGAGTCATTATTCCTAATAACTCTTAGCTGAGCACCTGGTGTGTTTGTCCAAACACCTGTGAGGGGTTTATCATCCTCTGCATCCTCTGAGGGAGAAGGGATGCAAAAGTACCTCTAAGGATGAAAGAGAAAACCGGGTTGCTCATACAAATAGCTCAAGCCAAGCAGCATCTTGACCTCATCTCTCTGCAGCATTCAGGTAGAGACAGAGCTTTGCAGGAACTTCTGGTTATCTTATCTTGGTTTTCCAACTCCAACAGAGATCGGGTGACTTGCCATAGACTCCCAAGTGGTGACTGAGAAAATCCAGTCAGCTCATCTCCAAGTCAGGCCCTCCCTTCCCAAAGCCTAGAGTGATTATAATATCAGACAGTGGTTATAATATCTGATGGGCTGGCTTCTCACAGCTCTGGCAATTCTGTTACAAGACCAACGGAAGCCACTTGGGAAGGCCCAAAGCAAGTCTCCAAATCCACAGTAGCTTCTGGCTCCTCTGACCATCTACCACAGTATGGCACTGTGGACTTGCATCACTGTAACGGTATCTTTGCAAAGAAATTCTGCTGTCATCCTGATCAAGAACTGAGCTGATTGGGGGCTGGTATGAGGATGCACATCTTCCCTTTGTGAACACTACATGTGACTGCAGCTGGCCTCCTTTCAGGAAATCCACATTTGGCCACCATGCTGAAAGACATGGTGTTTTGGCACGAGCTGGCTTTGAGTCCTTGCCATTAGATTTTCGGGGGTATAAAATCTAAATTCCATCACCAGTGACCCTAGTTTTGTAAAAGAACTCAGCATGGGGTACAAAGACCACCTTCACCACCTCAAATGGTGTCTTTTTATGGCAATGTTTCCCTATCTAATTCATGCCTGGCTCCACGGCTCTTGCTTTCTTTCTTTCCATGAGGGAAAATTAAGTAGCCACAGTATCTCGTTGGTCCTGTGCCCACTACCCTTGGGCTTTTGGGAGGATCCTCTTTTCAGCCGTTTCAATAGCAACCCCTGAGTGATATCTTTCTACATTCAAATGTGACGTAGTTTAATAACACGTTCCCTTTTTTAGCTCATCAGCTTTTCGGTCTATATATCCTCAGACAAGACAGGGCCACATTAGTGAGATCTCATTAGTAAACAAGTCTGTGCTGCTGATAGAAGATGAAATATTTTTAAAATGATAAAGGTGTTGTTGTTTTTTTAAGGAACAGTTTAATCATGCCACTTTGGGGGACATCAGTACATAATTCAGAGAAGATGAAAGAGACACATAAAAGAAATAATGTTAACAACTCTGGTGTAAAACATTTGAAGGTATAACCTGCCATTTGTCAACACTGCTTACTGATCCACTGTGATAAAATAATAACCCATTGACATATGAACATTGGCTGCAGCTGTAGGTTCTCATGAATGCTTTTTTTCAGAGCTATTTATCAGACTGTATGCAAGTTGCTCATCACAAGAAGCTGCGGGAGCAACGACTCAGTCCATGGCAATGGTGGTGGGTTAGGACGTTGATGACAAAGGACTGAGGATTTCTGGGAAGCCTAGTAGTATCGTTAATTGTGCCTGAATGGCATCTCTAATCTAGTCAAACGTTTGTGAGTGGACAGAGGAGCTGTGAGATCAATCTTGACTCTGCATATAAAATTACCCAGGATGCTTATTTAGCAATGAAGCTAAGCACATCTTCGTAATACAAGTTAATTGTTCTTCAGAAGTCACTTTTCAGAGTTTCATCTTCAGCATTAGAAAGCTAGGATGTAGAAAAGTATTGCCGTTGGTAGCTGAGACCCTGAGCTTTAAATGAGCCATCCTTCCAAGACCCTTCATTGAGATGAAAATGTTAAGTAGCTGCCTTCCATCAACATTTATTTGATAACTGCTAGCCATGAATTTGTAGCCGTCAGCACAGAATACAAATGGATATTGACTTCTTGAAAGAAAAAGGTGCAGGGGTCTCTGATAAACTACACATGGTTTAAAAAATTCCACATGTTGATATCTGTAACGCATTGGTTAGCACTGTGATAGAATACTTGCATTCTGATAAGAACATATTACATAATTAATGTTTAGTTTTCCGGTTTCTCTACTTTAATATGCATGCTTATTTTAAAGAAAGAATAGATTCTTGTCTTCTAGTAGATGTAACAATAGATTTTAAAATAGACACAGTATCGTGGCATATCCATATATTCAACGAATTGCAAGAGCAGTAGACTTTTGAAGATTGCTTTATTACTGACATATCCATATCAGAACATTGCACAGCAAATGCTGAATTAATCAATGTATGCAAAAAAAAGTAGAGTCAGGAAAGGGAACATGCCATGTAAGCTAGATTAGACCTAGAGTCCCAAGAGCAGGGAAGAAGGTCAGCCCTTTAGACCAGTGGGTAGTGAGCAAGGAGTTGGCTAACCAGGACAGAGAGGTGAAGTGCAGTGAGAAGGCTTGAAAGAGGACCGACGGGTGCATCTTCACACCCTCAAACCTCTCGTAGCTACTCATCTGTGGCCTAGTAGGCTGAGCAAATACCTTCCACATGCAAAACCAGCCACCTCACTCAGTGGCCCCATGACCATGCAGTGTGGAATAATCAATCGTAGAGCCACGGTAGAGTCCAGGGGATGAGCATTTCACCAAGTGTGGGATAAACGGCTGTTTCCACCCTCCCGTCTCCTAGCAACACTCCTGGAAGAGAGTTTATTAAAAAAAAAAAAAAAAAACTGTGCTGCAAATGGGCAACACTGGGTTCTGGAGTTCATCCCTGATTATCTTTGGGCTTGGGACCTAGCCATTCCTATAAACCATTATGGTTTAACCTCTGGTTGGAAAGACAAAAACTCTGGGGGGTGATATGCCTCTACTAGCTACCCAAGACCAAATTTTTTCAGTGTACAAATTGACCACATTTCCATCAGTTCATAAAGAAAACCATTTAGTACAGGAATGAGGCTCTCGTACCCCTTTGATCAGGGTGACTGCAGTCAAGAAGCACCCCTCCCACTACTCCTTGTATAACTGAATCACACAACACAGAGCATGAGCACTCATCAAGAAACAGGCCAGGTTCCACCACGATGGCGGGAGGCATCAGGAGAGAACAGGGAGCTCTGCTGGAAAGGACCCTTTCTGTCAATCCACACTGTTCTCTAGTGATTTTTGGGCCAATGGTGACTATCCAAGTGGTCAACACACCTGAAGATAGCTTCCTAAGCACCATCTTCTATAACTCATGCTGCTCCATGAATCATGATAAACCAGTAGCATCCCCATTTAGAGAGAGCATACTTGGATTTAGAGATCAAACACAACTTGTGCAGAAACACATGGATAAGCATAGATTGATTCAGGATCCAGATGAACCGGAGTAGGACACCTCCTTCCCAAACACGTGACAC